TTTTTTTAAGTCACTTGGCGAAACAATGCAATCGACACAAACGTTATGTGGCAATTACTTTCAAACGTGGATTTGCTCTATTTTGGTCGCGCTACCATAGACATCAATGTTTATATCTGAATTATAAACTTTCATTCCAGTATTTCTGTGATAATATGAATGCCTGTACGACAGAAATAATACTGTGTAGTTGAAAAGACTGTTTGTGAAGCTGTTTCTTAACCAAACATGGTAACTGCTCTCCATGTGTCAGCGGCAGTGCGAACGCAGATTTGAATGATCCGGTAAGACTTTGACTTTGTCAAAGGTTTAATAGACACGGGAGAATCGTTGTCATTTAGAAATGAGATCGTGTGGTTGTCTGAATCGAGATCGCGATTTTTTAACGATTAATCGTGCAGCTCTACTGTTAAATAACATGCCTTGTTTCAGCACGTTGTTATGGAAAGAATGCATCCACAGAGTTATATCTTCATTACTAGTACAGTCAAGTTCACTTGTGCAGGCACTCACAGCCTTTTGTGGAATTTGGTTTATATATATATATATATATATATATATATATATATATATACACAGTATATCTTGTTTATAAATGATTTATCTCATATAAGATGTGTTTGGTTGAGTTACGCTTCAATAAAGCGCTTCATTGTAGGCTTATTACGGTGATTATCTCTTCAGAGCGCAGCGTGAGCAGCTCAAACAATGCAGAATATTAATAACTATGACTGGGACTGTCATATACATAACAATATAATGAGAATACTATTATAATAAAACGCTGTGAATTTTTAGAGTTCAGTTGCCATGTTTCCGTGATTTTGTGTAATATAAGCAGGGCCTGAATTTTGCTGCGGGATTGCGGGCGTTGTGCATAATTCTCCAGGTTCCTGCAGGATTTGCGATTATAAAGCGGGGAATTCCCGCAAACATTTCTGCACTATAGCATGTAGGTTTAATCCAAACAGATTATCAGAGCAGATCAGTCATTTTAAAACTTTCACAAACAGTGAGTTTTACCGCGCCTTCTCCCACTCTCTCAAAATGCACAAATGGCCTCACATCCATAATCTCCACGTTGAGTTTGCTCTGCAAGTGAGCTGCACGCTGCAATACAAGACTAGCGAGCGCTTCGGACAGTTGACGGAACTGTCACTTGCACGTCATTTTAAGTCATGCCAATTTAAACTTTCAAGCTATTTTAACCCATAAAGTACTTGTGCACTCTCTGAGAGATGGTCTTCAATGTGCTCTCAGCCAAAGCTTGCACAGCCGCCTCTCAAACAGCTCGCGACTCTCGAGTGTCAAATTGAGTTACTACATTTTGATTAAAGAGGTGGTTCACCTGTTGTGTTTATGGGGTGCAGTCTAACATGTGTTAATGCTTTGTTTTTTAAAAAACGCATTATTTTTCACATAATTTACCTTTATTCCACACCGCTCTATCCCTTCTCTGATAAACACGCTGATCATTTCCTTCTTTAAGGAAGCCCCTCCCTCAGAAATAGGCGATGGGCTCTGATTGGTTAGCTAGCCCAGTGTGTTGTGATTGGCTAAACCGTCTCTAGTGCGCGTCTAAATGTCCTGCCCCTCTCCTCAGCGGCATGTGCTCCGGTTGTATTGTAAACAAAGGCGTCGTTAATATCGCTTATCAGTTTGATTGAGAAGCAGAGGATATTATTGAAGAGGATTACGCAGAACCTGTGCAAGCACGGCTTTTAATGGTAGGCCTATGTTTTTTGTTTGATGTTGTCTCATACTTTTAGATACGCTGTTATTTGTAAATGCTGCTGCTTATGTTAGCTTTTAATATGCGGTTTTATCCTGATTAAAGCTTTAATACAGTACGGAAACTGCACGCCCATGTGTTACGCTTCTCATAGCTATGTGAAAATAAGTGTATAATTGGTACAGTTCATTGTTATAGTTGAGCTGAATGAGAGAGAGAGAGAGAGATGCAGAGCGTGTGTGCCACAAAGTTCGTAGTTCGGGAAGGAGGAGGCAGGAACCGGCGAACACTTAAACGAAACTTTAATAATAAAATAAACAAACACAAAATAGCGCGACAGCCCCTCGCGGACAACTGTCGTGTACAAACAAAACCAAAACACAAAATAAAATCCAGGCCTGGTCCTCTCTCGTCTTTCACTGTCGTCACTCCTTTTTATCCTTCCGGAGCTCCTCCGTGAGACTCGAGACCGGTGAGTGATGCAGGTGTCGCTCATTATCAATTAATCCACCGACCTTGCTCCGTTCCCACGGCTCTCGGCCCCGCCCCTCTCGTCACATACCCCCATCGACCCTCTCAGGCCGGGGGGTACTCACGAGACTGCGCTCTACCCCCCCCCCCTCCTCCGGGGTAGCTGATCATGGCGGCTGCGGCGTACCTCAGGGTAAGGACAGACAGGCGAGGCAAGAGAAAAGGAGACGGAAGGATGAGGAGAGACAGAGACGAGAGAGGGGAGAGAGGGGGAAAAAAAAAATTCTTGTTCCGTTTCCCAGACACACTGTCGATCGGCCCTCCACCAGCTGGGTAAGCTTTTCCGCGATGCTAGGCGGCGGCACTGGACAGCCCTCGGTGGATGGCCTGACACTCCTCCGCCTTCCAGTGGACGGCGACGGCTCCTCCGCGTTCGGGCAGCCGGCAGGAGTCCCCCGTTCCCTGCTCCTCCCCAGCAGGTCACTGTCGTCACTCCTTTTTATCCTTCCGGAGCTCCTCTGTGAGACTTGACCGGTGAGTGGTGCAGGTGTCGCTCATTATCAGTTACTCCCCCGGCCTCGCTCCGTTCCCACGGCACTCAGCCCCGCCCCTCTCGTCACAGTGTGCAGAGCAGGGGGATGCGAGGAACAGGATTGAGAACCGCTGCTTTAGAACATTGATTTTGAAATTTGTGAATCCATTAGAATTGTTAGAAGACAGAATCACGATTCATATATGAATAGATTTTTACGTGCACCTCTAGTTTTCTCGTCCTCTTCTCTAAAGCAGCGCAGCATGGCCTCGCCCCCTTTGCTGCCTTTTCCTGAGGGCGGGGCTTATCTGGGTTTGTGATGTCACGAACCCGGGAAGTAACTCATTGTAGTCCCTACCAGCCGTTTTTGTAGGCATTAAACTGCCAGAATTTTAGAAGACGATATCTCCGTTTGCATTGAACTTTCAGCTTTGTAACTTTGCAGATATTGTTTTATGCTCAAACAGCAACATTACACACTAACTAACGTTAAAAAAGTGAAATCGCAATCAACCACCTCTTTAAAATCATTTCCTTATTGTCTGTCTATTCCATTTTATTTATCCATGGCACATGCATTTTTTATATGTAGCCTAAGTAATGTTGTCCAATGACTTGTTTTCATTATTTCGCCATTAAATTATTTTATTTTAATTTTTTTAAGGCAATAGATTTTTTTGGTATCACTTTACAAAGCAACAGTTTTTAAAGTGTCATTTGTTAATGCATTAATTAACATGAACTAATAGAGAGCAATTATTGTTATTATTATTAAGTTAAAAGTGAATCTAGTTCTCTATAACATTGCTGGTGCCATGCCATGAAACCGTGATATGAACCGAACAGTGGCATTGGTATACCGTTACACCCCATATATATATATATATATATATATATACATACAATATTATAATAAAATATAATTTATTTATTACTTTATTTACTGTGTAGCCTATTTATTTGGTCAAAGCAAAAAGTGCTGGGAGTGTCGCTCAAAAACAAAGCCAGGATCCATAACCAGAATACAGAACCAGGCTGGATCACATGTATAAAATGCAACTAAAAACACGTTAGCTTACATGATGAAAACATTGTAATACGTTTAAGTTGTTTAACTGATATATCGGAAGCTCTGCATGGGATTTGGGCTGAATTGGTGTTGCACTTCGGTCTTTTGCTTTTCTAAATTTCTGTTCTTTCTGCCCTCTCTTTATGACAGTTCAAAGTTATTGAATTGTTTGTGGATGCTTTGTGTGTGTGTGTGTGTGTGTGTGTGTGTGTGTGTACACGTTGAAGGATGCCCTACTGCATATATTTGTCTCAAACATGCTGATTTTGTTGGGCTTGACACATTGAAAAAGATAGACCAAGCTTGGAATGGGTGTTTTTATTTATTTTCTTCTTATTTTTTAAATCTGTCAAGGGACCAGTGCTTATCCCACTGCCCCATTGACATAGTGTTAACTGTAATTCTTTGTTGTTCTTTGACTGTCTGTATCAGTCTAAGGCATGCAATTTTAGCCTTGAGTAGAGCTTCACAGCCCCAGTGCACCAGCCTCACCTTCAGCCTCCTGTTTCCCTATTTCTAGTTTTAATCCATGATACACATCCCCTTCCCTGTCTAACTCAACACAGAAACAAGTTACTCTGTCATATATATCTGTATATGTTATGTGCTTCATTGTCCTTTGGGTGCATCAGAGCATTATAATATAAACAGTATGACCGATGGAAAACTGTGCACTTCTTTTAGAAATCTAGAGTGAAAGAAGAATACACTGTTTGAATTTTCCAAACTATATCATATCACATTTATGCCTTAATGGCTTCTAGTATCAGCCTAATCCGACTGAAAGTTTATAAGATCATTAATATTAATCCTTACTGGTATGGTGACAGCCATATTGTACATCCCTGCAAAAAAACTTCTTTAAATATGCTAAATTAACAACATAGTAAATTATAAGACAGATTGGGAATGCAATTACATTGTATTTGTGGGTTCATATGCGATGTATACAGTGCTGTTGAAATAATTTCATTCTCATTTTTGTATTAACCACTCCCCTTATCCACACATTCATGTCCGTTTTTCCTTCGTTCTCATCATCCTTTCGTTGTTTGTCCTTTTTTAATTTCCCATAATTCTATTTTGATTTCCTATTGTCCTTCCATCTTTCTTATTCAATCGTCTTCTCCTCTCGTGCCGCTTTGTTGTGCTTCCTCCCTCTAATCGTCCCTTCATCACTCTGAAGGTGAGGCTAGTGCCGGTCAGCTTTGAGGACCCGGACTTCCTGGCGTCGTACGAGCAGTCAGCAGCACTGTACGCCCGCTACCAGACGACCGTTCACGGCGACTCTCCGTATGAGTGCGGGGAGAGCGAGGTACAGACTGAAACATGTCACATTCACAACTACATCAAACACTCAACCGACTCACAAATTTACATCTACTTCCCACGTACACATTAGCTTTTTTTTCTCTGCCTTGTGTGTGATGATTTATTTATTTTTTTTGCTTTTGTGCTATTGCTCATACATAAGGTTAGGAACAAACTCCTAACTCTAAGTATGAAATTTCTATCAACCACCCAGAAGACCCTAGCAATGCCCTGGCATCCACCCATCCCCTAAAAACCCACATAGCGGTGGCAGAGAATTTTTGCATGGGTGAACATCATGTTTTGTAATTATAGTGACGTTTTGATCAAGTTTTTAAATGCATGTTGCTTACATTACATTTTTTAACTAAATAAAAGTAGAGATTTCTGAATTTGTATTTAAATCTAATCAGTGGATTTTCCCACCCACACTGTAAAAATTATATAATTATTATATTTTTTAAATGATTTAAGTTAATGAAATAGTTATATATATATATACAGTATATATAATAGTAGCATAATATGAATTGTAATAGAACTATACATTATATTATAATATAATAGTAAATAAAACTAAAATACAACTTCATTCTTTATACTTTTAAAATGTAACATTTAATTCAGTGTGTTGCTTGCCCTTTCTTTGTAATTATTTGTGAAGTTTACTAGCAATTTCTGAGTGAAAATGTTCAAATAAACATTTTTTTCAGTGCATAAAGTGCGTAAAATATGCAAAAAGATTGCACAGATTCAGTGTGGTTTTATATATTCTGTACAATGCTTCTGCCTGAATGCACTAATTTTATAATGACTGCCATAAAAAGAGCTAAATCAGAGGCTAGATATTTATATTGATTCCTCAAAGACCATTGCACGTCACAGTAGGAGCTTTATTATGTGTTTGTTTTGTTGAGGGGTTGATGCTAAATGTGAAATGAAGATTGCAAATGTTTTTTGACTGAGCAGATTTTGACCCATATATAATTCATGCAGCCAAAGTTGTTTTATTGCATCTTTCCGATGTTCATTGGTTTTATTAATATCCCCCTTGATGAGTTTAGTAACAGTCGTGCAATAGTAGAAATGTATGACAGTAGCATGTTGAGTCACAGTGCTGCAAGATCCCATAACATTTCATTACAGATGTCTGTTGCCGAATGAAAAGCTGCTGTAATAATTATTGTCTGGATTGGTCAATAATTCACCTTTGTTTTGGTAGAGTGAATCAGGACTGGATGGATCTGTTGAGATGTAAGCGGGTAAAACGTTTCTACCGTGTGCTATTTCAGTCTTAGACTGGGCCGGGCCGCACACACGCCCTGCCTGAAACACGGCCATAACTCAATTACATGTCATAAAAGAAGCAACATTTGCAGTCTGGGAGCTTGTAGGGAATCTTTACATTATTAAAACACTGTCAGGAGGACAGAGGGAGGCCAAGAGAAATCAATTTTTATGTTAAGAGTGATTAAAAAAAAACTGGTGGTTTTTACAATGAAAAGCTATACACTGAACCGAATGTAAAAACAGGAAAATGACAAACAGGTCATGAATATAGTGAAATTGTGGTTTCATTTTAAATGATTTTGCAAGGTTTTTGAGTACAAAAGGAGAGTAGTTTGTGGTGTTGACGATTGACCAGATGTTTTTTGGAGTCTAAAGACTCCAAATTGTCTACATTTTTGGTGCTTTGGAGCCATTTAGTGTGACCTAACAACAAGAGTATCGAGCAAGCGCTAGCGACAAATCTAGATTCATCTTATTGCATTCAGTGAGGCTTGCTGAAGTCGTTCAACAGGTTAATAGCTTATGGATCTGTGGTTTGTGAATGTTCTTTAAATACAGTTTTTATCTTTGCAGTATAGACACTCTCATGCCATGTTGTTGTAATGCAGTGCAACTCTACATTAAGACCTGAAACATACTCCACACATGTACATTAATGCTCAAAAGTTTGGGGGCAATTTTAAAATATTTTTCAAAGATATGCTCACCAAGGCTGCATTTATGAAAGATTAATTTTTTTTATTATTTTGAAAATGTTATTACAATTTAAAATAACTGTTTTCTATTTTAATTTATTTTAAAAAGTAATTTATTCCTGTAATGAAAACCTGAATTTTCAGCATCATTACTCCAGTCTTCCTTGTCACATGATCTTTCAGAAATCATTCAAATATGCTGATTTACTGCTCTTATCAGCGTTGAAAACAGTTGTGCTGCTTAATGTTTGTGGAAACTGCGATAATTTTTATTTTCAAGATTCTTCGATGAATAGAAAGTTTAAAAGAACAGCATTTATTTGAAATTAATTTGTTGTAACATTATAAAAATCTTTACTGTCACTTTTGATCAGTTTAATGCATCCTTATTATTAATTTCATTAAAAAAAAAACACCCCAAAATTTTGAACAGTAGTGTATGTGAACAAATACACAGATCAACTACCGTCATGGTGGAGCAACAGTCAGTGTAGCAAATGCAATACAACATGCTTCTGAAATCCTCAATGTTTATAGCTTGTTAAGTGAATAACACGTCTGATGTAATGGCACAGGCTTCAGAAGGGAATCGGAAGGGTTTTTTACCGCCACAGTCTTGCGCTTGCATTGTGTTGACCGTGTATTTACGTTTGCATACTTGTCTAGAATCTGTTTCTGGTCCCAATCACTCACTCTCTGTTAGGACCCAGACGCTGAGGGTGAACAGGATGTGGACCTACTTGACATTCTCAGTAACCTGAGAGAGGCCTTTGTCCCCCTTAGGCCTGGAAACCGGCCCTGCTCTGCCAACAGCAAATTAATAAATCCTCATGCTCATAAAATGTGGGAATTAATAAATAATAAGTCGTCAGAGCCGACCGTCTCCTTCCAGATTCTTTCCTGCTGCCATAACGGAGTTCTGTTTATAGTGTGGAAGGTGTGCGTATGTTTGCATTTGCAGATGTGAGAAATGGGTCTGTATGCATAAAGTGAAGTGGGGAGTTTCTTTAAGTCACTTGTCTCTCACCCCATTCTCTCAGTCCTTCCCTTATTTTCCTTCTTTCATCCTCTGCCTCCTCGTGCCATTTGCTGGTGGATCTGGCCTACTTCAGCTACTTTATTTTCCCTGTCTGTCTGAAATCACACTGATTTTTTGATTTAATATGATGTGAATTAGAATGATGGGAAATTCATTCAAAAATGAAAGTTTGGGGTCTGAAAGGTTTTTAAAATGTTTTTGACAGAAGTCTTTTCGGCTCTCCAAGGCTGCATTTATTTGATAAAAAAAATACAGTAATATTCTGAAATATTATTACAATTGAAAAGAACAGTGTTCTATTGTAATATATTTTAAAATGCTATTTATTCCTGTGATGCAAAGCTGAATTGTTAGCAGCCATTACTGCAGTCTTTAGTGTCGTTCAGAAATCATTCTAATATGCTGATTTGCTGTTATTATCAGTGCTTTTGTGGAAACCTTGATTAAAGATTAAAGTAAATGTTGGAGTTTGTGGGTCTCAGTGGAAATGAATGACTTCTGGTCTTTGTGTTGCTTGAAATCAGTGTGAACGACTCTTTATTGTGAGTGGAAGACTGTAATTGGGACACAAACACACAGCCAGAGGCAGAGGTTTCTGCTGTTGTAGTCTGATGTAGTGAGGCGTGACTGAGTTCCTACACATGTGGCACTAATTTTCAGCACAACAAATCCTGTTAAAACTGAATTTACTCCACCTAATGACACAATAACTAATTATACGGGGTAGCACTGGGGAGGAGAGGAGGAACACAAATCGATTCATACGCATTTATTCTTTCCAGCAGGATTTGTTTTACAAAGACTAGAATGACCATCTTGTAGGGTCTCAGACTTTTGAGTGTTCATATATGCATTTGCTGTTAAATGATGCATGACAATTTCCAAAATTAACAGTTTTTTCCTTAACTCCTTTTCACTTGATTATATAGTTTTTCATGTTCAAAAATATTAACTGGTTAAATGAAGTATGGTGTTGCCTTATTACCTCTCTGACAGATGTAGGTTGATCTAAACAGTAGATTTCATGGTCCGTTAAGAACCGATCCCTAACGTTAAGTTCTGCCTAATTTCAGAGCTTTAAATCCCTGCTGAGCCATTTCACTTCCTACTTTTGGTCGGAGTTCACCTTTTTGCTTTCACAAAAGGCCATTTTGGAACGTTTCAGAACAAGATTTGAAGAAGGGCTACAGAGAGAATGATGCTGGTGAAAGAAGCACGACTGCTTGTGTTTAATAACAGGTTTTTCTTTCAACATCAAGATTTAATGAGGGGAAAAAAAAAAAGTTTTCACCACCAGGTATTGATTGAATAATGAAAAGTTGGATTGGAGAGTTTGAGAAATTAGAGGGCTTGGTGATGTCAGAAACTTGCTTTGGAGAGCGCAAGTTATTAATTTTTTGTTTGTTTGTTTGTTTGATTGCTTGTCTTTTTTTTTTTTCATTCTGTTTTCTTTTTCCAATATTTTATTCATTTCTTCATTTTTTTATTCCTTTGTTTTCACCACCAGGTATTGATTGAATAATGAAAAGTTGGATTGGAGAGTTTGAGAAATTAGAGGGCTTGGTGATGTCAGAAACTTGCTTTGGAGAGCGCAAGTTATTACATTTTTTTTTGTTTGTTTGATTGCTTGTCTTTTTTTTTTTTTCATTCTGTTTTCTTTTTCCAATATTTTATTCATTTCTTCATTTTTTTTTTGGATGAAGATCACTGATCTGATCGGTGTTGTCTCACACTTCCTATTTTTTTTAGTTGTAATTAGGCACTTGTAGCTGACAAGATAAGAATTTGAGGCGTCATGGTTTTTGTTATATTTATGGGGTGCAGTGATTAAAGCAACTTGACGTCATTCATTTTTAGTAGTATTTTGCGATAAAAGCATCAGACATGGTGCTATTCATGCAAATAATGCAGCATATTAGTCACTCTTGTGTGCCTTGTGCATGGTTGTCAAATGTGTTTTGTGTCCTAACATGCTGTGTG